ACTACCTTCATGGTAGACACAGGAGCTCAACGCTCAGTTTTGACAACAACCAAGGGACCCATGAGTTCCAAAACAGCCTGGGTCCAAGGGGCTACTGGAGGAAAGACATATAGGTGGACCACAGAAAGAAAAGTGGACCTCAGTACAGGACAGGTCTCCCACTCGTTTTTACTGGTCCCAGACTGTCCATATCCCCTTCTTGGGAGAGATTTACTCTCTAAGCTGGGAGACCACATCCATTTCACTAGAAAGGGAGCTACTGTAAAAGGAAAAGATGGAGCTCCACTACAGGTATTAACCTTGCGGCTGGAAGATAACATCGGTTATATGAGGGACCGATAGCAGGAACTCCTGGTATATCTGATTGGCTAAGTAAAATCCCCTCGGCATGGGCCAAGACAGGAGGCCCAGGACTAGCACACAATCAGCCTCCAATAGTGGTTACACTAAAACCATCCGCAACTCCGGTTTCAATCAAACAATACCCTATGAGCAAAGAGGCCCGAGAGAGAATCAGGCCCCACATTCAAATACTTTTGCAAATGGGCATACTTCACCCTTGCCAATCCCCTTGGAACACCCTGCTGCTCCCCGTGAAAAAGTCAGGGATGGATGATTATTGACCAGTTCAAGACTTAAGTCAATCAGAGGATAGAAGATATCCATCCCACCATTCCTAATCCCTATAATCTCCTGTGTTCTTTACCTCCTAGTCACAGGTGGTATACTGTACTTGACCTGAAGGATGCATTCTTCTCCCTAAGGCTGAGCCCGGTTAGCCTTTGCTTTTGAATGGAAGGACCCTGAAGCTGGAATATCGGGACAACTAACCTGGACGCGACTTCCCCAAGGATTCAAGAACTCCCCTACTCTCTTTGATGAAGCTCTACATCGTGACCTGGCTGACTTCCGGGTAAGAAACCCACAGATTATGCTCCTCCAGTATGTAGATGACCTCCTCTTAGTGGCCGAGATGGAAGCTGACTGTTTACAATGTACAGAGGCTCTCCTATTGAGACTGGGGGAACTTGGATACCGAGCCTCGGCAAAGAAAGCCCAGATCTGCCTACAGCAGGTAAACTATTTGGGCTACCGGCTGGAGGGAGGGCAACGATGGCTAACGGAAAGTAGAAAGCAGGTGGTAGCCTCTATTCCCCCACCAACGTAGGCCAGAGGACTCAGAGAATTTTTGGGAAGTGCAGGATTCTGTAGACTATAGATACCGGGCTTCACCGAGATAGTGGCTTCTCTATACCCTTTAACAAAGAATGGGACCCCTTTTGCCTGGACAGAACACCAGAGAGCTTTTGACAAAATAAAAAGAGTGCTGCTGACGGCTCCAGCGTTAGGATTGCCAGATCTGACAAAACCTTTCATCCTATATGTAGATGAAAATAATGGTATGGCAAAAGGAGTTCTTACTCAGACTTTGGGACCCTGGAAAAGGCCAGTGGCTTATCTCTCAAAGAGACTGGACAATGTGGCCGCTGGCTGGGCCCCATGTTTGAGAATCATGGCGGCAATACCATCCCTGGTAAAAGACTCAGACAAACTTACTATGGGTCAGCCCCTGACTGTTATAACACCACATGCGGTGGAGTCTATCATTAGACAGCCACCTGACAGATGGTTGTCAAATGCCAGAGTGACCCATTACCAGGAACTATTATTAAATCCAGAAAAGATCAAGTTTGGTAGCCCTGTCACCTTAAACCCTGCCACGCTGCTACCAACTCCCCAGAAAGACACTGAGATTCCCCATGATTGTCAGCAAATACTTGCGGAGACACATGGGACCAGGGAAGACCTTACCGACAAGCCCCTAACAGATGCAGATGCCACCTGGTATACAGATGGGAGCAGTTTTCTGCGAAATGGTGAACGTAAGGTGGGGGTGGCGGTGATTGATGGGGAGAAAATAATTTGGGCCCAAGCCCTGCCGGCTGGAACATCAGCCCAACGGGCTGAACTAGAAGCCCTAATCCAAGCCCTAAAATTAGCAGAGGGCAAAAAGGTCAACATTTACACTGACACCCGCTATGTGTTTGCCACGGCTCATGTACATGGAGAAATTTACCGGAGAAGGGGACTCCTCACCTCAGCTGGTAAGGACATTAAGAACAAAGAAACAATAGTGGCCCTTCTGCAAGCCTTGTATTTGCCTAAAAAGGTCAGCATTATCCATTGCCCTGGACATCAGCGAGACCAGGGGCCGATTGCTCGAGGCAATTGGATGGCAGATGAAACTGCCCGTCGGGCAGCAGAAGGTACTTACATTCTCTACACCCATTCAGACCTTGAGGCTGAAATTGAGGCACAAAGGAGGGAGATGCTTTTTTCATTTATACTGAACAAGATCTGGAACTCATTCGGAAGCTCAATGCTACTTTGGACCCAGAATCTAAAATGTGGAAATATCAGGACTGAATCATACTGCCCTGAAAGGTGGCCCTTGAGTTAATCTCCCAACTCCACTAGTGGACACACTTAGGACACAAGAAACTAAAGACACTACTGGAAAGGGAAGAACAAATCTATTATTTCCCAGACCTCAACCAACTGGTCCAGAAGGTAGTAGGAGATTGTGTCTCATGTTCCCTGGTGAATGCTACCAGATCAAAGGTCCTATCTGGTAAGAGAGAAAGAGGGACACGACCAGGAACTAACTGGGAAGTAGATTTTATTGAGGGCCTCCCAGGAAAATATGGTTATAAATATCTTTTAGTGTTCATAGACACTTT